ACTTTTCAAGATAGTGTTTCTCTGTGTAGCCCTGTCTATCCTCCAACTCACTCTGTAGACCATGCCGACCTCGAACTCACAGAGATCTGCCTGTCTCTGCCTCCCAAGTGCTGGAATTAAAGGCGTGGGCCACCACAGCCTGGCAGCAAATAACAGTTTAACAGGTTACTTCCATTGTCCTTGATAATACTAAACATGTTTCCATCCCTTAAACCGAAATTGATGGGGAGGGTAGGTAGGTAGATGGTGACAGAGACTACCACCCCATCACTGTTTTGATCGAAGTAGACATAAGACCATGTATATGACAGTCCCTACTCTGTCTGCTGACTCAGTGGACATGAAGCAGACGTTGGCTAGTATAAAGTTAATCAGTTTCCTACAGATGAAATCTGTGACTCAAGTGTCCATCAGACTTGACTTAGTGAATTAGCTGTTGTTTTATGCAGCCTGCAAGGAGCCCTCTCTTGCTCCTTTCTTGCTAGGACCCTAAAAGAGTGCATATTGCCAGTGGCTATTGAATTTTGTTTTGTTCTGAGACAGGGCCCCAGGCTGGCCTTCTGCTCCCTCTGTAGCTGCTGATGACCTTTACCTCTCTCTGGTCATGCTCTCTCCACCTCCTGAGCACATAGGTTCCTGTTATGTTATGTCATGCTAGGGATTGAACCTAGGACTTCCCTGCATGTTAGGTCAGCACTCAGTCACCTCAGGCTCCATCCTCAACACATAAGGTGGAATTTTTAACAGAATAGCTGGAGCTCTGTTCTCTCTCTAAATAGGCTCCAACATAGAGGCCAGGGAGGCTGGTCATCTGGAACTCTGGAATAGACTCCATTTGTACAGTTACAGTAAGTTTGTTCAGCATGATCTACAGAAACGCTGACCAGTGAGTTGAATCAACTTCATGTTGTATTTCATGTCAGCACTTAATCATTACTGATGGGAACCATTAGCTTTCTCAAGCCCAACCAAAAAAGTCTCTCGTACAGACTGGTTTTTGCTATAGTCCAAGGCATCTACCATCACTTTTAATTAAAATAATTTGCTATTATTTTCTTCTTTAAAAACATTTTTTAAGTAATTGGAAATTAAATGAAGGAAGTTTTGCTTAGGGTCTCTGCTTAGGAAATACTTTATGAATAAAGAATTTTTTCCTTGAGATATTTTAGCTGTTAAGAAAATACTATAAATTTTTTAAGCTCAGCCCCTAGGATCTGCAGGTGTCATCTGATCATGGTGTTCACACATTCCCGTGTGGGTCTGTACACATACAGCCGCACAAGCACCATTTGAATACTGTGGCTGCTAAGCTCTCTAATGTACTAGGATCCGTGGAATTTCTGGAAACGTCCTAATTTTCCTGAGTTGATGACCAATGTTTGGATTGCTAGTGTCCTTCCCTGAGTTCCTGCAGATGTGTGCTAACGTAATTCTTCTCTCAGATGCATCTACATCTCAGAGAACCTCTCAGTCCCAGGATCTTGGCGATGCCACCTGTGGATCCCTTGGTTATTCTGCCCCTCTCAGAACTCAGGCTCCCAGGCAAATATCCTGAATCTATCTCCCCACTGCCGTGACACCAGGATCACCACCACCCCTTTCCATCTAATTTTCCATGCATGGCTGCTCTTTGACCTGTTCTCTATCTCCAGTTCCCTTGCCCCATGTTTCCCAGCTTTTGGGACTCTGCAAAATGATTTAAAGATTCCTGTCATCTTCTTTCTCCAGACACTTAAGAGTTTCTGGCTGGGTGGTGGTGGTGCACGCCTTTAATCCCAGCACTTGGGAGGCAGAGCCAGGCGGATCTCTGTGAGTTCGAGGCCAGCCTGGGCTACAGAGCACGATCCAGGACGGACGGACACCAAAACTACACAGAGTAACCCAGTCTCAGAAAACCAAAAAAAAAAAAAAAAAAAAAAAAAGTTTCTTCCCTCCTCTGTAGCTGAAGTTTTCTCCAGTCCTGCCTGGCCCATGGTCAGGACAAATCTCTCTCACCCGCCAGTCCTGCAGCCACTCAGACCCAACTGAGTAAACACACAGTGACTTATATTGCTTACAAACTGTATGGCCATGGCAGTTTTTCTATCTTAAATTACCCCATTTCTATAAATCTATACCTTGCCACATGGCTTACCAGTATCTTACATGTTGGTACTCATGGCAGCATCTGGCAGCGTCTCCTTGCCTCAGCCTTCCTGATCTCAGAATTTTCTTCTCTGCTTGTCCCACCTATACTTCCTGCCTGGCTACTGGCCAGTCACCTTTATATTTATACAGAGCAATATCCACAGCATTCCTCAGTCTTCTGACTGTTCTATATTTCTCAGAGTTCAGTTGCACTGTCTCCTCTGTTCACTTTCTCCCTCCTCCAGTCCCTGGTGGAACTAAATGCATGCTTACTTTGCTGTACCAGTCATATTTCAGCTGCATTTTCTTCACAACATATAGCAGTCATCTTCACTTGCATTTAATAACAACACCACTGTCTGGCTTCCCCAACTGTAGCCCAACTGCAGCCAAACTGCCTCACACTGCTCACAAGAATTATTAAAATATGTATAACAAGAAAAGACTTGGAGAGCATGGAGGGATGGCTCAGTGGCTAAGAGCATTGTCTGCTCTTCCAGAGGACTGGGGTTCGATTCCCAGCACCCACATGACAGCTCACAACCATTAGGTAGGTAGGTAGGTAGGTAGGTAGGTAGGTAGGTAGGTAGGTAGGTAAGTAGATGATAAATAAGTCTTTAAAAAGAAGAGACTTGGTACCCAGAGTAGTATAGAGTGAACTACATAGCCCTCCATGGTGAAACATCATCTAGGTATATCTAAGTATAAAGCAAGAAAATGGTTCCTCCATTAAGTTCATCAACAAAGTTTGTACTTTTATAAGTGATGATCAGACGTCAACACTGTCATTTCTGTTATCTAATGTGCTAGTGTTGATTGCAGGATGTTGAGCTTTCATTGAGGTGGATCCTAGAGATAACTTCCCCTACCAAGATTTATATACACAGAAGATTTGATCCCTTGCACACAACCCCACTCCTTGTTGTATTTAGTTTTTCAGTTATTTTTGTCTTACTCATTGTTTTCTGGGGAAATATGTGGAGTTGAGTAAGATGATTTCTCAAGCCTACCTGGAATCCTAAAAAACAGATTTTACCTATTTTGAATATTATCCTAAGCCAAAGAAAGCAATTTGCCTATAGAAAGAGATAAAGCACAATTTTTTTTCAGTATTTCTGACTCTGTGATTTTAGTGAAATCAGATCAGTGTTTTCTGCTACCTCCATGCAATATTTATTCTTAAAGAAATTAAACTTATCTATTTTCTTAGCAAAATCATACTGTAACTGCCTTACAATTTTGTTTTCTTAACATTTAGGAAGGAATAAAGTCAGAGAACATGAATTTTCTCCACCAAGTTGTTTAGGTTCAGTTGACATTTTAATGTGGGTTGAATTTGAACTTGAGTGCCACACACATTTCTACAGCTGACTCCTGGCCTCTCACTGGTGAACCACATTTCCCACCACAGGATTCTACCATTGCCACATGTTGACATGAACCTGATGTTGAAACTGCTTTTTATCTCCTGGGCTGATTGTATGAGGTCATGGAGCCCCACAGTATTGATAGTGTATCTCTGAGGGATAGATAGCCCAGGACGGCTGATAGCAGTGAGGGGAACACTGTGTAATGGGAATGTTTTTAACCCAGTTACTGAACTTACTAAGATCTTTCTCTTCTCTTCTCCTTCCCCTACCCTTATCTTCCTTCCCTCCAGTGTCACTTGGGCAATAAAAGTTAAGAGAAAACAAAAAAGGGAATTAAATGACAAAATGCCTGTGACCACAGGGATCTAATTGAAAATGTGGTATTTTCCTGGAGCAGGGTTCCTGTGAACACAACTTGCTGTTCCCCATCCTTAATGGAGACATGCTTTCCCATGTCCCCTCCACTCTCTAAGGTCTTGCGTTCACTGCCTCATAGCTGTCTTGTAGGCATGCTTCTGACTCTCGGGTCCTGTGGTTTTTGGTTTTTGCCATGTGCTAGGCCTTCCCCCACAATCCTCCCCACCACCTTTCCAAAGCACCACCTCACCCAGCCCAGCCCCGCTCCACACATGCTGCTCACCCCACCTCCACACAGCTTCTGCAGCCCGAAATCAGGTCCTTATGCTTGCACAGCCTGACTTCCCCAACTGAGTCGTCTCTCCAGCCCTCACTTCATTTTTTTTTTTAATTCATAAAATCATAGGATGGTTATGAAAGATTCTAAAGGACAATGAATTAAAAATTTATATTCCTAACACATAGCATTTCTGATAAAAGCAGAAGAGTGTTTAAATATTGGTTTCTCTAGGATAGTGTGTCAGTGTTGTCAACTTAACAGGCTATGAAATCACCTAGGAGACCACCTTTCAGGCACTCAAGTGAGGATTGTCCTATTTAGATAAGTCTGTCGGTACCTGTGTGAGATGTTCTTCATTGGGTTCACCGAGGTGACCAAACCCATCCTAACCTCGGGTAGCATTGTGCCCTAGGCTTGAGTCCCATAATGCATAAAAAAAAGAGAAGCAAGCTAAGAACAGGCATTCAGCATTCATCTCCTACTGTTTCCTGAGTTTGGATGCAGTGTGGCCACTGCTTCAAGCCACTACCTTGACTTCCTTGCCATGAAGGACTGTGCCTTTGAACTGTGAGCCTTCGTAATTTTTCTGCTTCTTATCTCAGCAGCAGAAGCCACTCAGCTGGCTACCGGCCTCCATTTCCAACCATGGGAAGCTGTGTTTCCTAATAATGTGATTGTTAATGACTGTAGCATGGAGCTTCCCAAAGCGCCCTGGTGTTTGGGTGGCTGGCTTCAGGCCTGCACAGCTCGTCTTTCTAGGCTTTTAGGGGACTTTGTTGTTGTTCTAATCAAAGTGACTTTGACCTGCCACCCAGCAGTCTAATCAGCCCATGACTGACGTTCTCTGTGTGTTGTGTCCCTCTTAGGTGCTGTGGTCTTTAGAGTGGGGTCACTGGATTTCTGAGGAGCCTTTTGAACTCTCTGAATCTTTCCCTGCAGCTCCGGTAAGTCATCACTGTACAGTGATAGTAAGTGCGATGTGGTGATCTTAGGCAAACTGTTACATGAATTCGATGTCTTAAGTCAAGAGTAGTCTTGCTCAGACTAAAAGGATGCCGCCCTAGAAACGAATGCCTTCTGTTCATTTATTTGTGTAAAGTGCAGTGAAAAATGTCACCTTGAGAAGTTTCACTTGAGCCAGGCAGTCCAGCGTTCAGGAAACTGAACTGGGCAGGTTGCTGCAAGTTTGATGCTAACCTGGGCTATAAGGTGAGACCTCTTCTCAAAAAAAAAATAATAATAATAATAATTTAATTATGAAAGCCTGTAGGGCTGTAGAAAACAGAAATTTTGAAAAGAAAAGACAACTCTTAAAAACTAATTCTAATACAGATAAAATTGATAGGTATAAAAATCATGGCCTGCCAGCATTGTGATGTGATCTTTATATTTTGATGCTTATCCTGAATTCCACCTTTATGGACTCGTAGGCATTTTAAATATTTGGTGATTAAATTCTGACTTCCCAGATAATTAAGGTTTGACTGGAAACAGGGTTATACAGAAGTTCCTTCCATTTGCAAACATGTTGTCTGGTTTGGGACTGTTTATTGTTTGAAAAGATGAGTCTCTGACAGGCAGTGGCTGTTCTAGCTGTCCCCGGGTCTCTTACGTAGCTGTCCAAGTGGCCCTGTGCCGGGGACCCAGCAGGAAGCTGCACTCTGCCCCCTAATCGCTCAGTCATCTAGCTCATTGCATTGTTTTGTTTTCATTTTTAAGATTACTGTTTTGATTTCCTTTCAACTTTGTAAATGTTTTCTTAAGAACAGAAAAAAAAAATTCTTCCCAGTAAGTTTGTTTGTTTAAAATACTGTGTAAGGCGCTGAAGTATACAGTGGAAACCAGGATTCCTCCCATTCTTTGACCTAAGAGTGTATGTAATTGAGTAGCACAGGAGGTCTGCCTTTGAAACCCATCTTCCTGCCTTTCTGAGAGACTGATGTAAGAAGAGTGCTGTTGCTGGGTTTCCCGGGTGATTGTCCCCCGCCTCAGTTCCTGTCACTGTGGGCATTCAAGACGCTTACTGCTTTTGGAAGCTGTGGGATGTTTTTTGGTGTCAGGCGTTTTAACTGGGTACAGAGCCGTGTTGGCCCCGCCGATGTTCCCGGACCGTGATAACAGAAACAGTGGTCAGAAAGCGGGGACCGAGTTCTTTCCTCTGGAGTTAGCTGGTAGAAAGTGAAGCATGGCAGAAGAGAAGGGTGCCTTGGCCACCTGAGTCTGTGGGTTGACCAGAGCACAGAGAAGTGTGTGAGGGTTTCTAACACGAAGGCCGTGTGAAAAAAGACAGGTTAGAGCAGTGGTTCTCAACCTGTGGGTCCCAACCCCCTGGGGGTTAGCATGTCAGATATCCTGCATATCAGTCAGATATCTACATTACAATTCATAACCATAGCAAAATTACAGTTATGAAGTAGCAGCAAAGTAATTTTAGGTTGGGGGTCATCACAACATGAGGAACTGTGTTAAAGGGCCGCAGCATTAGGAAGGTTGAGAATCGCAAGGTTAGAGAAATAAAAGAATAATAATAAAAAAAAAAAGACAAAACCAGCATTAGACACAGAGAAGGGCAAATACAGGTAAGGAAGGCTGCGTGAAAGATTGCATCTAACTGTTTTGTGCAGCCACTCATTGATGCAGATGGCACTCTGCAAGCTTCCAGGACGTTAGAACAGGAGGAATTGAGGTTAACAGTTCCAAGCATAAGCTTGTGTTCTGAAACTTTTTCTAGAAGCATCTGGTTATACTATGAGCAGGACATTTTGGTTTTCCATCCTAAAACACTTGTTCAGTTTGCTAGTGAAGATAAAAATGGTACTAAGGCAAAATTTTTTTCTATAAATTAATTCAGAGAATCATGGCTTTGTAGAGGTTGTAAGGTGGGATGGTTTTCCTCAACCACAAATCAAGTTTTAGTGTTATTTTCTAAAACATGTCTTGCTAAACTAGGGAACAGATCTTCAGAATAGAATACTAACTCGATGGTGAAGTCTCTTCATCATGAAACAGCTTTTTCTTCATTAACCTTCCTTTTCACGAGGCACAGGGTTTTTTGTATGTGACCAAAGAACAAAATTATAAATGTTACCATAAAAATTAAACGTAATCACCTCAACTAATAAGTTATATTTAATTACTAAAAATACCTTCATATTTAACAGCCAGGCAGAAAACAAAATAGTACAGTCTCCACACACACCAACGTGGCGGCACCCGCTTGGTGGTAATCCCAGAGATGTGGGTGTTTTCATCATATAGCAAATAGTATCCAGCCATTAAAGACTAAGCCGTCGAGACAGGTAAATGTGTTGTTTTCAAATGAAAATGTAAAGCACCTAAGAGGAAAGCAAGGCACTGTCCTTCTCCAGGTCTTAACCTGTAACCAGCACTTAGAATCCCCGAATGCTCGCTGCCGTGTGAACGGACACAGTCTTGTCATCGTGACAGCTGTACTGCACATTCCTGCCATCTATGAACTGCACTTAGAGGGCCATGGTTCAAGGTCATCTTCTCTAAGTGTCCTGTTTTCCAGTTATTGCCTGATGGACCCTCACGTAGCGTTCTTCCGTGTGGCAGAGTCTGCATGCTGTCCCTCTGATTCTCAGCCTCAGCGTCACCTTCCCACAGGTGTTTCTCCAGACCGCAGTGCCTTTGGGTTTCCTCAGGTTGGTTATTGGTGCAGGCTTAAGTGATGTGCTTCAGTCTGGCACAGAGAGGTCCTCCCCACCCCCAGGAGCACCTCCTGACGGGGAGAGGGCTGCTGTGCATTGGTGTCTCTCAGTGCTTTGGGTTAATCTTTGGACACAGTACGCTCTTCTGGTAGTATAGGAGGCATTTAGAAATCTGCTGGCCGGATCATCATGGTTGTGGCCTTGAGCGAGTAGCCGGACCCCTTCCAGTAGTACCACTTAATACCATTGAACTTATTTGTATTCTGCTTTTGTGGGTAGTACTGTCCATTCAAATTGGAAGGACCACATGCATCAAACCACCAGCCTGTGAAAGTGAAACAGAGGAATTAGGAGTGGGTGGCGGTACCTGTGTCAGGTGGGGGGGCTCAGGTGTGCTCCTCAGTCCCCAGCTTCAGAGAAGGTACACACACCCCCTCATGGTGTGGGAGAAGCCACATTGATTTGTTATTCCCCAGACACACACTTCACTCCCCTGCGGTCACAGTTCCATACACATTTTCTAGCTCCTTTTGCACAGAATCCTCGCAACATGGAGAACTGTTGGTCGGTGTGAAAAGCCTGTCATCGGTGGCTACATTGTGGGTGAAGACGTGGTGACACTGGAGGTATACGTGTGTAGAAGTCTTAACAGCAGGGTGGGCCAAACGCTTCCCACTCCCTCCATCTAACTGTTTGGGTTGGAATAGACGCCAAGTGCCTAGTGCTCCATGGAGCTAGAGGAAAAGAAACTTAGAGGCTATAAGGTGGAGGTGCTAAGGGAGAGCCAGGCAATAGCAAGGACCTCCCTCATGGTAGCTCTGGATCCCACAAATAGGAGCATGGCGGGTGGTAGGATTTGCCATATGAAGCAGTAACGTGGGTGATGTACCAATCTGAATTCATCTCTAAGCTTCATGTGGGAAAGACACCCATTATATGAGATTATCTGATAGTAATCTTGTCTGTTTTTAAATACAGAAAACAATAACAAGAGTTGATAGTAAAGAATGTGGATGAGATGCCAATTCAGAGGCTAACTCAGGGCAAGTAGGACACAGTAGGGCAGATTCTCTTTAAAAAAAAATTTTTTTTTCCCCATGGAGTGCATCTGTCTCCCTGGACACAGCTGGCTAGAGATACTCCTAGCTGGTGATTCTGATAAATGGAGGTTTATAAGAAAATCCTGTATTGTGCAAAACCCTTGGAACGTGGAGAAATGACATAATGGATCTGCCTTAACTTCAGGCACCTTCCATGCCACTGCTCCCGAAGACATCTCACTCCTCCATAGGCCACCTTCCCCATGAGCCTGCCCATGGCTTGGAACGTGGCCTCTTTCAGCCCAGACCTCCCCATTGTCCTTCCCTGGCCGCTTGCCTCCTCCCCAGTCTCTCCCAGCTCCATTCTCAGCCCCTAAATCTTGAACTAGGTAAATAAATAGATTGTGTCCTTGGTTATAAAGCAGCTCTCCAGCTCTCTGGAGTAGCAGCACACGGGTGGTCTGAAAACAGCCAGCCTCTCCAGAGAGGTCTCAGTGTGGGAATGGCAGGCAGGACTTGGGATTAGGTGTGTTGCAGCCCAGAACGCACCCCCATTGTCAGTTGATTTTAAAGAGGATTGTTACAGTGACATGAGAGAGTCTAGCCTCCTTTACAATAGCGGTTCAATAGCTTTCTTTCCTTTGGATAATTACAACTAATGGGGACAGCTCCTGCCAAGCGGCCCACTCTGTTCTCCCTACCATTCCAGGATCTACTATTCCTAATTGTTGCGTGAAATTTCAAGTTCTGGATTTCTTTTCCAGTTTTGGAGTTACGTGTGGTTCAAGCTTCGATCTTTTACTCGTCTTAGCAACTTATATTTTTATTCTTTAAGTAAGTTTTATGTATTTGTGGTGGGGTCCTGCCACAGCACAGGTGTGGATCAGAGAGCAGCTTGGGAGAATCCGTTCTCCCCTTCCGCCAGGAGGGACCCAGGGATCAAACTCAGGTTGTCGGGCTTGACAGCCAGCAGCACCTTTACCGCCCAGCCATCTCCCAGGCCTGAGCTAGGTTTTCTTAACAAACCCAGAACTCATGGATCCAGCTAGACCAGCAGGCAAGCAAGCCCCAGCACCGCGATTGCAGGAGGACACCACATACTCAGCTTTATGCGGGGATCCTGAGACCTGAGCGCCAGTCTTCAGGTTTAGGTGTCAGGTGCCTTACCCACTGGGCTGCCTCCCAGCCCACTTCATGTTTTAATCATTTGCTGTGCATGAGAATCATTACAAG